CCTAATGCCTTGAGCAACTCAGAGCGGATTTCGTCAATTCCAACAGCTTTTCCATTTTTCAAGCTTTCCACAGCTTGTGCAATTTCATCTACAGAGAGAGTAATATCCGTACTGGTCTACAGGCGAGTCTTCCTGCTGTTGCGCGGGATTAAGGAGTTCCTCAAAGTACTCCCTCTATCGCTGAAGAATGTCATCATCCTTGGTAAGAGGGTGTCCAAATCTGTCCTTCAAGACTCTGAGACTGCCCGTCTTTTCACCTTGGAGCCGGCGGATGGTCTGTCAGAATACTTTGTTTGCCGTGTGGAAATTCGACTCTAACACCTCGGCGAACTTCTCCCAGGAATCAGCTTTTGCTTTCGCCACTGTTTTGACTACCGCTTTGTGTGTCTCGACATATTGCACGCGAGTAGAAGGCTCTTTATTTCCAAGCCATTTCTTGAACGCTGCTTTCTTCTCTTTAACTGCCGGTTGTACCTCTCGTGTCCACCATGAAGATCTTTTCTGACCTGCAGGCGGCAGGCCAGCCCGTTTATATCCACAGCATTCGGCGGCTCTCTCCAGTATGCCGCTCTTAAACAGCTGTCACTAGGTTTCCACATCAGTGCTCATCACCGGGATGAGCAATAATATGAACGAAAAATATGATCGTAGATTATCATTTTCCGTGATGAGACATATCTACGTGGGACGGAGATGTATAACATCTGATAAGTGGTGGTAATTCCCAGCTCACCGAGGAAAATTGCAATTTGAGCAAGTCTCACAGAACCGTCACATGGGAGCCCATTCTGTCGGGTTGAGAGGCAAACAGACGTTATGTTCAAGACGACTGACAATCCTTGAAAACAGCCAAAATCATCTGCTACCAGATCGGACGAAATACAAAGTAAAAACAAAAGTTAACCCCCCCCCGCGTTCAGTCCCTTGCAAGCAGCTGGAGTCGGATTACATCGCACACCTGATGGATGAACAACTGATGGAAAGTTTAACGGTAACGGATTGGTACCTAAGAACTGCAACAGCCTAATTGGAAGACCTCAGCTCAGATGGGACGATGAAGTATATAAGAAACATGGAACGCTGTAGCGAAAAATCACGAGATAAACGAACGCTGGCATCCCGACATCGAGACAGGGGAACAACGATCGTCGTTTATCATGAAAAAAGATCAACCAATTGCCATGTATGAATGAACGTATGTATTACATATATATGCATGCATGCGTAGCGCTATCTTATACTTATGTTAAGCTTAGTCGCAAGTTTTTATGTATATCCATAAATATAGACTTTAGACACGTCAGTTTTAACAACTGAACGTGCGAATTCGTTCATCGCCGTGTCAGAAGGTAAGGCTGTTTCATGGCTGTTTATGTCTGAATTTGCAAGCCCACTTTACTGGTCTATCAAAGCGTTGTACTTCCTCATACGAGGCTCATTTCACGGTTCAATTGTCAGAGAAGGATCGTCTTTTCTCATCCCACTTTCTACTAACAACTTGTCACTGCTTAGCCAGATCTCGAGAGAAAGGATACGTTTTTCTCTGGATAATTTAACTCAGAACAACCGCTTCGTGTCATGCATGATTTCTTCCTTTACAAGTGCTTGACAGCTGATTCCCTAGAATAATCTTCTGCTGCTTCAGCAATGTTCAAAAACTGTGACTCAGTCGACATATTCCTGTAGCAAGCAACATGTTTCGAAGCTTCACAAGCCTGCGTCTGAACGGCCAAATAGACCTTCACATTCATCATAATAAATTCATTTTTTAAACTGTACAAGTATTACGTGTAGCTTTTAACATATGTTTCCCTGGGAATCCACGTAGAGAGACTTTTAATTAAAATTTATAACCTATTAATTAAGTTTAGACAATTTTCTTCCAATGTTTAAACAGTTTAGTGTAGAATCGACATCTTGCATATCAAGGCTGGGATCAGCCGCATAACGAGTCACACTTTGTTTAGTTACAACCCCCTCCATATCTGACTTAAGAAACCTGATCAGTATAAGAATCGCTGCTCTGCTAGGGACAAAACATACGAATGTTAAAATTATTCTGAGGCTGCAAATATGGATAAAACAAATTAGAAAATGGAGAGCACAGAACAAAACAGTGGCTGCATGAGTATATAAGTGAATCAGTTTATTACCAACAATGCTGAGCTAATCGTGCAGGTTTCGTCTTGTCTGCTCATCTTGTCATGTGTTTAATCCACTTTCTTTTAGAGAGTTCATTTGGAATTAGCATCTGTTTTGATTTTGAATAATTTTCCAAACGGGTGGCAGGAAACAAAACCTATTTTCCGGTATTTCCCTTATCCCTGTGACGCAATAATAATTTATCCATAGGACAAAGACTAGGCGGTAGAGCGTGTGTATATCCTGTGATCCTTCAATTGCTCATTAGCTACTGATAAAATAAGACAAGAGAACGGATTCAAAAACAGAAAAAAAATCTAGTGAATGAAGCCACCTTATCGTGTGTTAATAAAAAAGTGTCGGTTCGTATGCATCGGATAAATTCAGTTTTCATTCATT